CAACGAAATTCAAAATATTGCGCCAAGCTGGCATGGGATTTGTACAAGTTTATGCAGAATGGGATGGTTGTTATAAAAAAGGTATATATAAATTAAAGGTAGTATAGGTAAAAATATATTAAGTTAAATTATTGAAATTAAATTGCATAAAAAAATTGCAACAAAATTAAACAAAGTTAAAAATGCAATAAGTTAAAATAAAGTAAAGTACAATAAAATTGAATAAAATAAAACAAAAAAAAATATATTAAAAAAAATTTTTAAAATATATAAAAGTAAATAAAAATAAAATATAATAAAATAAAAGAAAATTAAAATATAACAACATGAAATTAAAACAAAAATAAAATAAAATAAAATGAAATAAAATAAAATTAAATAACATAAAAAACAATAAAATTAAATTAAATTAATTTAAAATAAATTAAAACTAAAAATGCCATAAATTAAAATAAAATAAAATGAAACAAAATAAAATAAAACTTAATAAAATTAAATTAAATTACAAAGACAGACATAGAAAATTCAATAAAGTTATAAGTTACGATCAAAATAAATTTCTTTTAAGAAAAATCTTACTTTCTTTTTTCACAAAATATCTTCACGACACTTAATATAAATTATTATATAAGTCAACGGTACGATCTCTCAAAAAATTGTTCAGATCAGACCACTATAGCATATTGTTGCCATATAAACTGACCGACCAAATCAAGTTCTTTAAGGATTTTTTTTGTATTTGTGAAGGGTATTATAACTTCGAGGCAACCGAAGTTTAATTTTTTCTCACTTATTATGAATTCAGTGCAGGATTACCATAAAACACTGCTAATAAAAATATTGATTCCCTACATTAAAGACCCAATAAATATAATACTATAAATAAAGTCTATAAATTTTTGGAAAGTTTTGCCCCTTAACTTAAAAAAAAGTATAAAAGTTTTTTTGTTGAAAAAAAAATGTTCGAATATTTAACTGAACAAAATTCTGAAAGAACTTCGTTTCAAAAGCTTCAATAAACACTGTATACTTCATTACTTAGGATTAGCGCTGTCAATCGAATTAATGAAGTAATGAATGAATAGGCCACTTTTATAAATTCTGAGTAACAACCAAAAATTTACAACGCTATTTATGCGAATGTTGTTTTTGTAGACAAATTTTTAGCGTTGCTTGTTCGTTGATTAACGTATAATTAAATTTCCTCGGTATGACATGGATGCAATGGAAGGTTAGCAGACATTTAACACGTGGCAGAATACATATAATATTTTACACTGCTTAGTTAACAAAGCTTTCTAAGCTGAGCACAGGTTGAAGCGTCGTGGAAGAGACCAAAGATATAAATCAATTATTTCTTTCAAAATTTTTTGTTAAATATTAAGCCGCAGATCAATTTCAATTATCATCAGTCTTATCAATATAGAGATAAAGAGAGGGAGAGATAGAGACAGAGCTAGAGGCGAAGAGAAAAATATTCGTCTTATTATAAATTATTCGTGTCCATGTGATAGGTGGAACACATTTTCCAACAAATATATGTGGAAAATACACAAAAAATATGTCTGTGTTGAATCGAAAAATCGATAACTTAAATTTTTAATGACACTACGAAGTTCGTCGCGACAAGCAGGGTAGAATTAAATCCCAAACTTGAGCAGGTGTGCTAAGTAAAAGATAGGTATGTATATACATATGTCACAGTAATTACGAATAATAAAGTAGCATAACTTGCTTCATAACCAACAAAAAAACAGAAACGAAAACCGATAAATCGATAAATAAATTTGAAACTTAAAAGCACTTAAATACGCAGACAGTCATAGAATCAAACAGAGAATTTGGAATACACGGGGTAGCTTACAGCCTTACTAACAAACATACGTACTTGTGCTCATAGTTTCGTGTGTTCACACGGTCAAGGTTAAACAACAACATTGCAGCGCATAAAACCAAAGCATTTATGGATTGAGTTGACTTTTTCAGCGAGCTAATAAGGCTTAACCGTTGTTTAATATAAAGTGTGTGTGTGTGTGCAATATTCCAATTTATTATAATTGTAAAAAAGTTATGGAAGTACACATTTGAAATACCATTTAATACAATTTTCTTTTGTAAGTAAAGAAAATGTTTTATTATTTAAAACCCCAAAAATGGCATTTCTACAAAAAATTTGCCTTCACCTAGGTGCATTCATAAATAAATAAATACTAAATAAATGGAATAACAATAAGATGGAAGCATTCTAAATGATGTCTGCAATTCTGCAAAATGGAAAAAAAACGTTGCAAATACAAACAATTCCTTACATGAATTTGATTTTTTTTTGTCAGTCTGTACGCCATATATAATATACCTCCTGCTCAAATATAAACGAGACTGGCTCAATGAAGCGGCAATTTGAGTTTAGGGAAAAGAAAAAAGTCACACGGTGCCATGTCGGGTGAATACGGTGCTTGCGGAACAATATTTACGTTGTTTTTGGTCAAATAATCGCGTACAAGACGAGACGTATGAGCTGGATTTTGGACCAAGTCGAGTAGACACACGTCTCATGCCCAAAACATCGTGAATAATGCTATGAGCGGATCCATTTGATATGTTGAGCTCACTAGCTATCTCTCTTTCAGTCACACGACGATTTTCCAACACAATTTTCTTTACTTTTTCGACGTTTTCTTCGTTTATTGACGTTGCAGGACGACGATCATGGGGCAAGTTTTCCAGCGATGTACGGCCGTCCTTGAACGACTTATACCAATCAAAAATACGTGCACGTGATAGGCAAGACTCCCCATATGCCTTCTGCAGCATTTTAATTGCGTCCGTCGCCCTTATTCCATTGGAATAACAAAATTTCAAACAAACACTTTTTGCTCAACGTTAATTTCCATAGTAAAATTCGAAAAACACACTCGAGGTTGACTTGTTTATAGTGCCGTAAAAAAAAAACTATGGGAGAGATCGCGCTCAAATTTGACATGTAATCATATAACAGTCCTGCCAACCTAAACAAAAAAAAGTATGGCCATATGTCATGTCCTTGTCGAGTTATGGATAAAGTCTCGTTTATATTTGAGCAGGAGGTAAGTTCGATCTGAACAATTTCTACAATTTATTCGGGAACTGGGAATGAACAAAACTTGGTCAGACAAATTTTAATATCGTCGGCAATTCAAACCTCTATTTGGAACATTGTATCCATTTCTAACAATATAAATTACAAAGACTACATTTTAAATTTTCGATATGTATAAAAAAAAATAACCCAAAGCTTTTGCGAAAAGGTATATTTTTATTGTCCAAGCTTTTGAATACACGAATTTTTAAATTAAAAAATTCCACCAGAGATCAATTTTTTATGCTTAAAGCTTCTGGAATCTTCCTTGCCTCAAATAAGGTTCGAAAGGATAGAAATGAAATCAAATGAAATTAGAAAATATAATCCGCACATAAATGACTATTAAATAAACGGGTTGCCATACTTCCTTTTTCGTGAACTATGAGAGCTCATAGTCTAAAACTAAAAAGTATTTAATACTACTGGGTAACGATAATTCGGTAACAAATACGCCAAAGTTTTGATTATGAGTGGCGCGTTGGCATATTGTACTATTTCTATATTAATTTTCCGCTCCGCGTATGATATTTTTCGCATTGAAGAAAACACACTTTGAATATGCGCACCTTTAACGGATTCTAAGTTTACACTTATTTCTGTATAATCGGTTTACTTCTCGAAATTTAATTTACGTTTAAAATCACAGAAATAAAATTGTTTTTAAAAATTTTAGTAAGAAAATTTTGACTTTCGTTTAATTGTTCTCTTATTAAACTTAGAACTTTTAATTTTTGCACCGATTCTTAAAATTCTAACACAAATTCCAACACCCTTTTCGTTATGACTGCTCTCTCTGTCAATTTAAATATTACAAAAAGAAATAAAAAGAAAAATCGATATCGACAAATTTAGTGAAGATATCTCGTCAAATAAGATAGTTTTCCATACCAGAACTTGATTTCGATCAATCAGTTTGCATGGCAGCTATATTGTACAATTGTCCGATATCGACTATTCCGACAAATGAGTAGTTTCTTGGGGAAAAAAGAACATGTGCGAATTTCAGATCGATATCTCGAAAACTGTGAAACTGGACAGACGGACGTAAAATGGACTTCGTGACAAACTCGTTGAGGCTATGAAAACTATGGCTTCCCTTTAATCATCTCTATAATATGCGGTTTCTAACGATTTCATCAGATTCAATTGCATCTACAGATGAAATAACTTTTTTCAAATTAAACAGTCCTACGTTAGCTCTCTGTTTATGATCTATTTTTGGTACGAGACTATGTGTATACATTTTGTCATTAAGGTGAGCTACGTTCTACGTCCTCTTTAGAGCATGTAAAGAGAATGCAATAAGGAGTGATACTTTTTCAAGCTGATTTAAAAACTCAATAGAATTTTCTGCCCAAAAATTTTTTTTATATATTTTTTTTAGATAATGGTAAGTAGATTTTTAACTCCTTTTAATGCAATTCATGCGCATGTGTCGGCCCGGTAAGCATGATAAAAGTAATCCAACTGTTACTGTTTTTGGTGCATGACTTCGCTAAAAATATTTCCATCTAATAGCACTTATATAGTTATTATGCCTAACTGTAGTCAAAATTTTAACATATAAGTTAAAAATAAAACATTTTTGTTTCCACTTTTTCATTCAATAACGGCAAAAAAACTGCTTCACATTATATTTGATTAAAAAGAGAAATCCTGTTGCCTACAATTAGGCAGTTTAAAAAGCTATCAAAGTCACCTACCAAATTAAATAGATTGCATATATTAAGAAGATATTTGGAAGATATATATTATATATATAATACAATTAATCAATTAATTAGAAAAATATACCCCTTTTGTAGCATCAAGAGTATACATATATAAGTATAGTAGTACCTGTAACGTATTTAAGAAAAATATTTCGTAAGGAAAAAGATGTGGCACTAATTTTCATTTTTATTTAAATATAGTTTAATATTTCTATTAACAAATATCAATAAATTTGTATCTCAGCTACTTTCCACTAAACTTAGCTCGAAAACACTGTCCTCCCCCTACTTTATAACATTTCAACTGGTGTTTCCAAGTAATAATCACGCAAAAAATCTTTGAGAACACCCATTTTGTCTTGCACTTCTGTGGCTTCTTTCAATTTCCCCGACCAATCGAATAGCTTTTGCGCCACGGCCTTTCGTTGCTGTTCCGGCGACAAGCCATTTACATAATCATCAATGCGCCGCACACTCTCACGCACCAGCATAGCACGTTTTTGATTCAACGTATCTATGAAAGTTTCAAGTCCAAAAGACATAAAGTCCTGCTCAATCCAACAATCATAAGGATTCAGGGTGGGCTCTAAACGCGCCACAATATCTAGGAAGTCTGTATATAGTAACGACTTGCCGAAGACGTAGAAGAAAAGTGGTGCTTTGTACTCCTTTGATGGCTGCTTCTTCATACTCTTCTCCTTTACGAACTCAACATAGTTTCGTAACATGATTTTCTTGTTCAGCAACATTTCACTGCGAATATTTTGGAATCTATCATCATCGAGTACTCTTTCAACCAACTCCTTACTCTCATTCACTTCATAGTCGAGCAGTTTTAGGTAATCCGCTGTTACAGCTTCGATCAATTGTTCGCGTGCTGTTTGCGCAGCTTCAGAGGGATTTTCAGTAGTGCTAGTTGCGTGGGTGCTGGTGAGCTGTATTGTTGATAGAATTGCAGTTTAATGAATTTTATTTATACTAAAAATATTAATTTTATTTTACTCTTACACCAATCACTAGTAGACACGCTATGAAATATATATTCATAATTTGTTGTGGCATTTTTAGAATTCGCATAGTGTCAGCCCGGAACTGCTGCTTATCTCTACAAACGATGTGCGCACACTAGTGATCTTGTTTCAAGTGTAGTTTCAAATATTTTCAGCACACATTGTTGTACATGCATGCATATGAACTTTGTACGAGACCCCAACGAATACACTCTTACAGCAAGAAACAGCACTCGGTAGACAGCTGATAACGAGCTGTGAGCGCTAAGCATTTCGATTTTCTTATCAGCTCTCTTACAAGATCAGCCTGTGCTGAGTGCAGTAATCATGTACATGTACATATGTATGTTATTTTATGTATATACATACTTGTATATAAAAGTATAGTATATTATGTATGACTGCGTGTCTATAAATATTTATAGTATATAAGCTTAGAATGTTGTATTAGCGATGCTGATGCTTGGCAAAAAAATTATGAATTACGTTTAGAAAAATACAATTAATAGAGTTGCCAAAATTTTTTAAAATAAACAAAAACAAATGTTAACTTCGGCTATAATACCCTTCACAGGTGCATTTTTTATAGCTTAAAAGGTTTTACAATTTTTTGTTCTGATTTTGATCGGTCGGTTTATATGGCAGATTTATGCCATCGTGGTACGATCTGAATAATATATATGGAGATTGTATTGTAGCAATGTCTTGGATAATAATACATTATTTATATGACGAATTTCGTGAAGCTACCTTGTCAAATAAGAAAGTTTTCCATACAAGGACTTAAGTTCGATCGGTCAGTTTGTATTGTTGTGCGATATCGGCGTTTCCGAAAAGTTTTTTGTTGAGAAAAGGACGTCTGCACAATATCAGTACAGGGTATAAATATACATATGTAAATACATGGCTTCTGCAAGAACAGCTAAGAGGCAGGAAAAGTTTCTTCAAAGATTTATCACAAGCAAATCATATTTTCTAAAGTGCAAAGTGAAAGAATTTAAATAATGTAGCCACTTAGTGTTGCGTTAAACTGCACAATACATTCAAGAATCTCAAAATTCTATACGAGATCATGCTTTTGATCGGAAGTTCGGATAAAATAGGCCATTCAGTTTAATTTGACATATCTTCAGCATATAAATATCACAACACTCAACTCAAAATTGAACTAAGCTAAACTCTTCTAACGATCCACATGCACTGCTGGTCTTATTTCAGATGAAAATTCGAATGCGTTTTAACGAAAATTTTTAATAACAACAATAACAATTTAATATATATTTATTCCTCTTTGGTCTTAGTAACTCAAACAGCAGTTAGACCGCGGCTCTTGCAAAAGGTGTGCGTTGTGCTAACTTTGGAGGAATATGTAAAGAGTTTTACTAGTTTTAACCACAGGATATAGGTATGTATATATTTATACAAGATAAAAAAAAAATCAAAAAACTTGCATATTTGAAAATTTTCACATAAATTTTAAGGTTATGTGAAAAAGATGTTAATAAAAAAGTTGCAGATCTCTTCTTTACGTACAGCTGCCATATAATTTTTATTTGCCATATAAATTTTTTCTATAGAACTTCTAGTTTTCTCAGAAATCATTGAAGCATTGCCCTATTGTGCTTGTAGAGGATCTTGAATAACTGAGAATCTTCAAAGGTTATCCAGAAAACCAGGAAAATTTGTAGCATTCAAAAATTCAACTAAATTAATGTCCAGCTGATAAATTATTGGTATCAGAGACATGAATCCAGAAAACTATATTTAAGCGATTCTTTGCTTTTCTGTTTTCTTTTCATTTTCAATAATCGAATAATTTCCGAACTAGCACGTGCTTGAACTGGGCTACAAAACGTCATCCACATAGCAGAGCGAAAACCTAATTTTTCAAAAATGTGGATGTTTATGGACTTTACATGAATACATTATGTATTATTCGACTTCAAAGTCATTGCGTGTGAACTGAACTCTCAAAATATTTATAATAAATCATTCACAAAAGCCAACTCAAATAATTATATTCTACAGAGCTCGAATAATGTACAATAGTAAAGAAGTTCTCTCCTTCAATTGAAAAATAAAATATTATATATTGATTTTGCTTGCATTTACAAACTTTTTGTCATAAAATATGTTGTTTAAAGCAGACACATTAAACAGCTCTCTCAAAATTATAAAACCGCATAAATTTTGCAAAAGTCATTTGTTTCCGTTCCAAAGTTGGCGCATTCTTAATTTTTCTTGACCATCTTTTCAGATTTTTTGCCATCGTTTTTTTCTGCTGCTCCGACGTCAAACTCTTCACATAACCTTCAATTCGCTGCACAATCTCTTTGAAGAACTCGTCATATTTTTGATCCACAACTTTTCGAATGTCCTCAAATCCAAATTTGCTTAACAGCATTTCGTCGGCATGATTACCATAACGACGAATCACTGTGGGAATTAAGCGATTCAAGACCCGATTAACACAATTACTCATAATCATTTCGCGAGTCTCTGATTCTACACTCGTTTCGTTCTTGAATATCTCCTCGTTGAGTAGCTTTTGGCATACTTCCACACTCTTTTCAAACGCATATCTGATTAAATTCTGAGAATCTGCAAAAATAGAGTCCACCAACAGTTTGTGGGAAGCAAACGTTTCCATGTCTTTTTCGGTATTTTCGGCGCCATCGGCGTTGATGCAGACGATCTAAGGTGTTTTGGGATAATTTATTGATATTTTACATTAAAAATAATTGCTCCTTTTCTTACACTTATCACTAGCAGAAACGCTGTGCAGTATTTGTGGTTAGGGGCTCGACCCATTTGAATCGATACAGTTAGAACGTACTAAGCTCTTCTAACGATGTGCACTTTCTGGTGATCTTCTTTCCAATGCACTTTCGAATGCCCCTATATACAGAGTTTCAATAACAAAAACTATGTTAGTGCGTTTAGCAATATTATTGCGGCTTTAGCAACTTGAACAGAAGTCAGACCGAAGCTTTTATTTGTAGTGTGCGCCTGTTCTAAACTATGAAGAAGTTGTTGAGCTGGTGGTTATTATGAGACTTTATGAAATGAGATGTTAGAACTACACTGAGAGGATTGGGCTATATCTTCTACAAGGAAACACAGAAAGTATTTTCTCAAACGTTTCCGTGGTAACTGGGTTAATTTTTGATCCCATGATTCTCCGAATTGAGGATGAATACACAATGAGTCACCATTTTGTGTACTAAGTAGCCAGTTAATGCAAATTAGACAAGTGACGTCAAGACCTTTATCAGTTTCATTACAAGATCGGAGTCATGAGCTAAGGCTATCAGGTTTAACCATATAAAGCTAGTTTATAGTACCATATACCTACATATGTTTTACATATATGTTTACATATATGAATATATCTATGAAATATTTGAATTAAGAAACATATTTAAAATCAAAATGCTTTTACAAATTTATTTTATACTCTCGCAACTTGAAAATATCAGAGGCGGGGAAACACTTTTAGGTGTTGCAAACCGTTATCTTAAAAAATCTTGAGAAACAATTCAACGTAATTAACCCAAATAAAATATACATATGGGAAATGTTTAAACTAAACTAAAGTTAATTTAATATATGGGATCTATGAAGAAAACATCAATCAAAGGATGGTGAATCCCAATTTCATTCTGGACTATTGAAAATCATTATATGCAATATATCCACTTAATTTTGCTAGGGTATCATATTTTGACGCGGAAGATAGAAACTCTTTTTGATCCAATTTTGGTATTAAGACATATCATAACCAGAAACAGATGCTCACTGAACTTCATTAAGAAACCTCAGATATTGACCAATATAAAAAGTATAAAATCAAACAGATGTTAAAAATCTGAATTGCACTGATTTCATCCATTCCAGGATACACTGTTACTGGAAAGAGTTTCTCTCTGAACTTCATTAAGATTTCTTACATACTAGCCGATAGATGACGCATAAAGTCGACCGGGAGTTCGAAAATATGTATACTCGTATTACGTATGTGGGGGTTAAGGAAAGTACATATTGACCCAATTTTATCTGTTTTCGGCACAGAGCATGCTGCCATCACAAAAATACTCTTCTCAAATTTCAATACTAGATTGCACAGATTGACCGATATGTTCTGTAAAAAAATATATATATCATAATTAAGGAGAGGTACCTGTGGTTTGAAAATTTTGAAAAAGTGGGCGTGGCTCCGCGCCCTAAAAAGTTTGATGTATATATCTCCCAAACCAGTCAAGCTATGTCACCCAAATTTGCACACAGTAAATATTTTCAAGACCTCTTACGATAGTGTGAAAATAGGTGAAATCGATTAATAACCCCTCCCACTACTAACTAAATGCGTCATAGACATTAAATTTTATACCCAGAATGACACAAGAGGGCTTAATAGGAGCCGGTATCAAAATTGGACGGTGGGCGTGGCACCGCACTCTTTTTTGTGAAATCACGCATCTCCGGACCTGCTTGACCGATTTCAACCAAATTTATTGCATAACATTCTTCCAATATTATAATGGAATGACAACCACGCCTACTTCCCATATAACACAATTTTAAATTCCATCTGATTCTTTCACACTCCAGTATGGAAATAAAGCACCAATTAACATATCGAGATAAACCTTTAAACGAATAGTCCTTCTAAAATGTGCCACCTTATGAACAAAAATTGTCCAAATCGCAGCAAAACTGTTCAAGCCCCTAGGTACCAAATATGTGGACACCAGTGTCTACAATTGACTTTTTACCGAAAAAATATCGATCAATATATGAGATATATAATTGAAATTCGGAGAAAATGCTTTCCTGATAATAGTATGTCCGAGTGTCAAAAATCGGTTGAATCGGGTCAATATTTCCTTTATACCACATATATCCAATACGAGTTATCTAAAAATAAGAAAGCGTGTTTTCCTAAAAACAATATATCTTTGTATCTAAAATAAGTAAAATCGGGTAAAAACTTACCCTAGCCCCTATATAACTAAGCACAGATTCAAACATCCGGTTGGTTTTACTCCATATGTGTTGGTGACGGTATCTGAGGTACTTTAAAATGAAGCTCACGGAGCATTCCATTCTGTTAATATAGGATATACTATAGTTCAACGTATAATGTTGGATATGTTTAATGCCGAAAATATGATAATAAAATTGCTTGAAAAATGTATCTGAATATACCTCAGCTAGTTGAGTAGCCCATCCCTTTCTCTATTCCTTGTATAATAATTTCCGATTTTCCACCTGACAAAATGTGTGCAACTTCAATAAAATTAAATGAACAAATTTTCTTAAAAATTGTGTGGAAATATAAATAAAATTGGTCTAGACATTGGTTCAAAACTGATATCCCTGAAATAATGAATTGCGAGCCTCTGCTTGACGTTTTCACATCAACTCATTATATAAAATTGAAGATGATTTTAATACAATTTTAGCTGACGGAAAGTAAAATGCATTCACAAAACTAAGTGAGTCTATGACGTATAATATAACTGAATAATATACCAAATTTGATTGTAATTTATTTACAATTTTATCAAATGCTGAATGTTGAATTGTTTCGCAATATTTTATAATATAAAGATTTCCTACCACCTTAAGATATTTTTCCTACTTTGATGCTTGTAAGTTGCAAGAGTATAAAATGTGCGGACACTCAAACTTAGCCTTTCTTTATTTGTTGTTATTTTACATTTAAGCGATTCTTCGCTTTTCTGTTTTTATTTCTCTACCGGTTATCGATTAATTCCCGACCAGCATATTCTTGAACAGTGGTACAAAAGCTCACCTCCGAACGAAAACTCCATTTTTAAAAAATCTGGATCTATATGAATTTTGCGTGGATTTAGCATATACCTATTATTCAACTTACATTTGTAGTGAATTACAATATTTGAAAAGGTCACTGAGGCTAAATCTATAATTTGAGGTAGAGACATTAATTACGCACACTCAACTGAGAGTTTCTATAGCGCTCGAATAATGTGGTAGAAAAAATATTACGTCCAATTGAATTCATACATTTTATTGTGAATGCAACAGAAAGAAATATTGACATAATTAATTTAAAGCCAACATATTAAAGACCTCCCTCAAAATAATGAAACTGTATACATTTTGCAAAAACAATTTTTTTTATCTCCAACGTTGGGGCGTTTTTAATTCTTCTTGACCACCTTTTCAGATTTTTTACCTTCGTTTCTCTTTTCTGTTTCGAGGTCAAACACTTTACATAATTATCAATGCGTTGCACAATATCTTTGAAGAATTCTTCATATTTTTTATCCACAACTTTTCGTACGTCCTCAAATCCAAATGTGCTCAGCATGATTTCATCTGAATAATTCGCACGATGAGTCACCGAGGGAATTAAGGGATTCAAGAGCCAATTAACACAATTACTCAGATCCATTTCGTACGTCTCTGATTCTATGCTGGTTTCATTTTTGTATTTCTCCTCGTTGAGTAGCTTTTGGCATACTTCCACACTCCTTTTAAACGCATATCTGATTAAATTCTGAGAATCTGCAAAAATAGAGTCCACCAACAGTTTGTGGGAAGCAAACGTTTCCATATCTATTTCGGTATTTTCGGTGCCATCGGCGTTGATGCAGACGATCTAAGGTGTTTTGGGATAATTTATTGATATTTTACATTAAAAATAATTGCTCTTTTTCTTACACTTATCACTAGCAGAAACGCTGTGCAGTATTTGTGGTTAGGGGCTCGACCCATTGTAATCGATACAGTTAGAACGTACTAAGCTCTTCTAACGATATGCACTTTCTGCTGATCTTCTTCTAAATGCGCTTTCGAATGCACTTATATACAAATTATTTCAATAACAAAAACAATGTTAGTGCGTTTAGCAATATTATTTCGGCTTTAGCTAATTGAACAGAAGTTAGACCGAAGCTTTTATTTGTAGTGTGCGCCTGTTCTAAGCTATGAAGAACTTGTTGAGCTGGTGGTTATTATGAGACTTTATGAATGTTAGAACTACACTGAGAAACACAGAAAAAAGTTTCTCAAATGTTTCCGTGGTAACTGGGTTAATTTTTGAACCCATGATTCTCCGAATTGAGGATGAATACACAATTAGTCACCATTTTGTGTACTCAGTAGCCAGTTAATGCAAATTTGGCAAGTGACGTCAATACCATTATCAGCTCCATTATAAGATCGGAGTCATGAACCAAATATTTAAAATATATATTTATGTATGTATATATTATATATATATATGGTATATATTAATAGAACGTTTGTATTTCAAAAAGACATTCAGAATCAACACAGCAGTTGGAATTTTATTTTCAGAAAAAAATTAGAGAGAGTCAGATGCACCCATAACGCTTATATAGTTTTAGAAAAATTTTGGAAGACTTGTTGGTTGATTCGTTTTTAATATTATATTTTATAGAATCGCACTATATATGCTTCAAATTCATTTTTCATATATTATGAATTTCATTACAAACAATTTTTATTAGAGTTGCCACCTTTTTAAAATTTAAATATACATAAATAAAAGGATTCTATAAAATTTTCGAGGCAGAAATTAAAAGGTTAGAAAAAATTAATGGCGAACTGAATCAGAAATATATATGGATAGGGTTGTCGGCACTGAAAAAAGTTATATAAAACAGTAAAATATTGTATAATTTATTTTCGAAATATTGCACTACTCTTAAGCTATTTTTAAAATTAGTTGCATATTTACAAAAAAAAAATTTATATAATATTTTTTACTTTTACGTTAAAAACTCATAAAATTTTAGATTTCATATATATTGTAAGGTAGAAATTACAGATCTGAGATTTGATAATATTGAAATTGAAATAAGTCTGAATAAGGTTACCAAAACCCGAAAATAATTGAAGCAGTAAAAACTATACAATATGTTTAAGCTATGTTAAGATAATTAAATTTTGAAACGTATTCCAGCTTATTTTAAAAAGAAGCAAAGATTTCAGAGTATGGTTATGTTAGAATATGTTTCTAATTGACATGAGTTTGTGGTGGGTAAAAGCGTAAAAGCACCTTTTTCAGAGTACTATCCAACCGTTTTCTATTTTATGATTGCAGTCAGAATCTGAAAAAGACATATAAAGTAGAACCATCGATCTAGTTCACATACTATACAAGAAGGAAAACTATTCGACTCAGATTATTTTCAAATCAGTTACGCACAACTAACAGTTAGGGCTTCAGTGAAAAATGAATTATTTATACACTTGAATCTACGTATAACAGTATTTCACAAACCATACATAAAACTACAAAATCGAAACATTCTTTGAGTGGATATTTTACAAATATCGGTCGGGTCATTCTTTACTTATTGTCGTAAGGGTTTCTACTCTACTGAGAGGAAAATGAAACAGGGAGATAGCGAGGGTCCCAAGCCATAAATCACGGAAGATCACACGAAAGTAGCGTAACTTCAGTGAAGGATGTGTGATTTGTACTGCAAAAACTAAACATTCTTTGAGTCCATATTTTACAAATATCGCTTGGTTCCGACCGCCAGCACGACGCGTCATTGTCGGTTCCAATTGTTGTATTGCGTGATCTGTACAATCCTTTAATATCAATTTCTTGCTTTGCGATATATCGCTGAGCGCATTTTCGTTTTTATTTCCATCGATTATCTTGTGACCTAATTTTTTGCACTATTCTAACTCAAACTCGACTACCTCATAATATCGACCAATCGATTGCGTGCAATCAGAATTTGTTGCCTCTCGGTTTTTGCGGTGGTGTTATCGGCAAGGCCTTTATTCGAAAAAAATCATAGTTTCTTAAGCTCAAAAAATCTCACGATTTCTTTGGATTTCAGGATCTGCGGTACCATGCTTTTAATAGGAAGTTCGCAAAAAATAAATAATTTAGTTCAACAAACTCATGTTTAGTGTCAGCAAGATTCGCTATAAAAGTATTCCGCTTCAATTGAACTGCACTTTACTGTGAATAGTACAGCGAAAATGAAGGTTCGATTCGCTTAACTTGCTCTTAATTAATAAAATATACTGTCAAAGGTTTGAAAAATGGTTTGCGTTTACAAAATTTTATTTATTTGTATTATATTATATATTATACTAAAGCATTTCACACGCCAAACACCACTTTCAAATATATAATATCGCATACAACTTCTAAAAGTCATCTTCCTGTGCCAAAGTTGAAGCCTCACTAATTTTACTTAACCACCCTTTCAGATTTCGTCCAGTCATCTCGCTTTGCTGCTCCGGTGTCAAACTCTTCAGGTGTTCATCAATTTGTCGCAAAATCTCTTCAATAATTTCTTCATATTTTCGTTTCACAACCTTTTGTATATCCTCAAATCCATATTTACGCAATAACATTTTCTCAACCCGATTACTAGCACTAAGATCTGTGGGAACTAAAAGATCCTCGATATGATTAATGCAATGCATCAAAACCGTTTCGCGAGTCTCTGATTCTTCAGATTCCTCAGATTCAATACTCGTTTTGTTCCTGTATATATCTTCGTCGTGCATCTTCTTACAGACTTCCTCACTCTCTTCATAAACATATTTCGTGAATTTATGTCACTCATTGATCATAGAGTCTAACAATAGATTACGGGAAGCAAGTATTTCCACGTCTATTTCCGGTTTTTCAGTGGCATCAGCGTTTACGCAGACGACCTGCGGTGTGTTGGAAAATTTTATTGCTATTTTTCATTAATTTTTATTTCTATTTGCCTTACACCGATCACCAGCAGCAATGCAACGAAGTACTTGTGGATAGACAATGCAGCCATTTTAGTCAGTAACACTGCACCGTACTAATCTCTTCTAACGTTCGACTCTCACTGATGACTTTATTCTAAAAGCAACTTCAAATGCCTTTTTATGCCAAGTTTTCAACAACAGCCATAACAACTCAATATATAGTTATAACAATTTGGTCTGAATAACTTAGAGAGAGGGTGGGCCGCGTTTATTGTAAGTGGTGTGCGTCTGTGCTAACTTACGCTGAATATATACATATATGTATAGTTTACAAGTTTTTACCGCAGAACAGCTGTTGGTTATTATAATATATTTTAATATGAAAATATTAACTTTATACCAAACTGGGAAATTCGTGAATAATTGGCGAAATTTTTCATGATGTCCTAATTGAATTTTGAACCCTTGATTCACCGAGTTGTAGACGCTAATGTTAATTATGTACGTCCCGTTGAGGTATTTATAAAGATCAGAGTAACGAGCCGAGATTATCAGATTTAACCATTTACAGATATCCCATATATAGCTAGATTGATATTTTATATAATATATTGCTAAGTGAGGTTTGTATTTTAACAACACATTCAGATTGAAATGCAATAAAAATTATATTATAGGGGCTGACATTTGCATTTAACAGGCAATAATAAAAGCCATATAGATTCGTAAGAGATGCCGAAACAGTGATTAGAATGAAAACCAGTCAGCAAATGCACAGCGCATAGTCAACGTATGGAGAAAGTATTACTTAATCTATAGGGTTAGGGCAGAGTGCAAGACCCTGAAGTCAAAAAAGCTTGAAAAATATTTTTGGGAAATTCAGAGTAGAATCATGTCGAAACATAACAACTGTATTTAAACTTGTGTGAAGCAAGATTTTAGACGAGGAAATCCTTCACAGTAACATTACTTTATTCTGAAGATGAAGAAAGGAAATGGAACATTTGGAACCACTTAAATAAGGATGGATACAAATAAGCTTGATTCAATCAATTTCTACAGAGGATGAGGCAGCAGTCAAACAGATGTGACCAGCTGTGGACGGTAGCAGAGAAATTGCATCTCATTAGCACTACGCCAAGCCACGCACAGCAATAGTGATTGCCATGCTAAATAAAACGTTCAATTGAATTCAAAAATTATACATTTCTTTTTATTAGATTTTGCCAGAGGTTTGTAATTTGACTTGTCTTAATTATAATAATATTGCTTTCATCATTACTTTATAGGGATTAACTAAACACCTCTTTCAAAATAATAAGATCGCATGCAACTTCTAAAAAACTTTTCTTATCTTGTTAGAGTTGGGACGCTTTTAATTTTACTTGACCACCCTTTCAGATTTTGTGCCGTCATTCGAGTTTGCTGCTCCGACGTCAACCCCTTCACATAATCATCAATTTGTTGCACAATATCTTTGAAGAAATCTTCATACTTTTGATCTACAATCTGTTTAATATTCTCAAATCCATATTTAAGCAATAGAGTTGCATCGGCCTTGTAGGATCAAAGTAGTCCACGACGCGATGACGACAATTTTTCAGAACAGTTTCGCGATTCTCCGAATCCACACTCATTGCATTCTTGAACATATCATCGTCGATTAGCTTTTTACATAACTCCTCACTCCGTCCAAAAACATATTCAGTTAATATAAGGGACTTATTAAACATTAAACATAATTTACATATTAATACAAGTATTTTTCATTAATAATAATTTATATTTTTCTTGAACCAATCACCAGCGAAACGCTACAAAATAATTGTCGATCGACGCTCGAACCATTTGATTCAAGATAATTGGCCTGTACTTATCTCTTCTAATGATGTGTACTCACTGCAGTTTTTATTTGAAATGCAATTTCAAATGCGCTTTTATGCAAATTGTTCAATGACAACAACAGCTATAGTATATACATATATATAGTATACATATATATATATATATATATGTATGAGCTTGGCTTTAGTACCTTAGATAAGAGTTAGGCCGAGCTTCTTACTTGTGGAGTACGTTTTTGCTAACTTACGAGAGGGACAAGAGTTTTAACCGCAGAAAGGCTGTTCAACGACGAAATCGAATACAAGATTAAACACAGATGATTGAAAGCTCAAAATTTTTGCTCAAGTTGCCTGTTTGGGGTTTTAAATATAGAGGAGACGCGTACTTAATGAGCCCGCACTGCGGAAAGATATTATTTAGGCACGTGACCTACAGGTAGTTATCAATGTATTTACAAGATCGTAGCCAAGAACTAAGGTTATCATGTTATAGAAAATTCTCCGTACCAAGACTTGATTTGATCAGTTAGTTGGTATGGCAGCTATACCATATATGCTATGATTTTTCGATCTAAAGCGTTGCGTTTCCTTAAACAGTAATCCTTGCCAAAATTTCATTAAGATATTTCGTCAAATAAAACAATTTCCCATACAGTAACTCGATTGTGATGGTTTAGTTTATATGGCAGCTATATGCTATAGTGGTCCAATATCGACGATTTCGACTAGTGGGCAGTTGCTTGTGGAAAAAAGGACCGATAGCTCAAAAACTATCTGACTATTTTACATATATACAGACAGACAGACGAGCATGGTGAAATCGACTCAGCTGGGCATCCTGATCATTTAAAAATACATATATTCTTGTATATTGAAAAGTTTCCGGCATTTTCCTCTGCGTATTAGAAACTTCGTTGCAATCATGTAAAAATTCTTCAGCCGAGTTAGTGTTAAGGACTTCTAGAAACCTATTATATAACAGTTTAACGCAAAAACAAAGCACGAAAGGAAGTAAAGGCGTGCTTAAAGTTCTGCCAGAGGTGTGAGAATATACTTATTTCCACATTTTTCGCTTCTTAAATGTAAAATTATTCAGTTACGATAACTTTAATTTAGATAATATAATATATAGGTTAATATATTTCAAAATTTAACGAAAAATCTCATAAAATCTTTAAAAGTTTCCATTCTCAGCTCCACATCGCTTTCGGCCTTCATTTTAGCCGACCACTCCACCATTTTTTGTGCTTCCACCTCGTCAGTCTGACGCTCCTCTGGCGTCAAATGCGCCAAATAAGTGTCGACATCCTCAACAAAATCACTCATAAACTTAATTTGCTTACGCGTAACCCTGCGCTGCAAATCGTCCAGCCCATTCCTCTTCAGGGAACGTTCAATCAGGTAATTTTCGGGACTAAACTTACGTCGCGGATTTGTGGTGTCATGCCGCCTAAGAATTGCTTCGAATTCCTGATAAATCAACGACTTTGCAATCAGATAAAACAAACGGTTGGCTATGTTGCTACGCGCTGGCGGCTCCTCTTGCTCTTTGTCGACGACTTGCCGCACGAAATTCTCCATAATGCGACGCTCGGCCTCCATGAGATCACTGTGTATAAGCTGCACCTCGGCATCAGCCAAAACACCTTGCACCAGCGCCTTGCTTTGCACCAATTCATAGTCGGTCAGCTTCAGGTACTCCTCAATCATTGTGGCGAGCAATTGTTCACGGCGATTTCCTAAACCCTCCTCGGCGGTTGAGGCGAACGCCCAATTGACGAGCTGGAAGTGTGCAAGAATTTCTTGTAACTTTTTTTCTGATATAATTTCCTTGTATATACCGGCGCAATGAAAACTATTTATGCCGGCATTTACATACCAGTCCCAGCAGCAATGATATGCCAAGCAGTAGCTTGAGGTGTTGACTAGGCTTGGCCATTTTGTTTTCGTACACCTGCAGCGGTTCTTCTTTGACGTCGTAAAGCGAAATGTGTGTTTACATTCAAATTTGAATTGACAATGCCCTCAAATAGGAAATGTTGTCTGTCAGAGAAGTCACACAACCGAAATGTCGGCCAACGCTAGCGATAACACTCAACTCGTTACATACTCAGTTGCAGCGCTGAGTAGAGCTTTGCATGGGCGCTTATCAAGCTGTCGCTGAGATCGCGGAGGTCGCCTTGATTGTTGATAATGGAACTTAGTAAACAAATCTGCATTTATGTATTTCGTATTGTATATATATACGAGTATATAGCGAATTTATTCGTTATTATTATCAAGTCTCCAGTGTTGAACTTAAGCACTCAAAAGTGTAGAGCGTATTAAACAAATTTTATCACATGCAGTTTGAAATTTTGGATATGCGCGACTGAAGTTTTCTTATAGAAGATAGGGAGCTGCCAAGAGGCAGTCTTTAAAATCATAAACAATCGCTTCGAAATAGTGACTCTGAGTCAAATCATATGCTTAAGGTAATTTTTTAGGTATGCTGCCGAGTTTACAGCTCTTTGGCGGATAAAAAAAGGGATTATAGCCCTTTCTTATAAATACAAATATAATCGTGCTCAAAAGCAAGGTTATGAGGAAATTATACAAATTAACATGGAATCACAGCTCGAGATATACCGTAATGATCGAACTTGTACCAAAATTGCAGTTTAATCCAATATTTTAGTCTTCGAACAATACTCGTAGGCTAAGAATCATTTAAACTAAGAAACAATATGTTAAAAGATCATCTCGGGAAAAAAACATGTTATATTGCTGAGCAAAATATTTCCTCAGTAAATATATTTTAGAGGTTAAGACACACTCTGCAAATGTACGAAACAAATAGCATAACAGTCTTTCCGAAGAGAGGCAAGTATGATTTATATAAAACTATAGCATAAAATTAGCTGAGTCCTAATGAAGCGATTACGATATCATATAATTACAGTATATTCCAGGCTTATATTTCAATCGCGTTCCTCTGATAAATGTTGTAAGAAGCCGTTGCATATCGGCTAGACACTAAATTATAAAAGAATCAAGGGCAAAAACGATCGAGTAAATATAATGAATAAATATATTATGTACATCTATTGTTTTTTCTTGTTTTAAAATTATATAAGGAATCAACATTTAAGTTCCAGACTCTACTTAGTTACTGAAATTAGCAGATATCAACTTTGAATCCATATATTATTTATTTTCATCTGATACAAATAATAGCCAAAAATCCAGTTTTGGCTTTTGTCCAAAAACAGATAATACATATTTCAAGTTTAAAACTCAGGTTAGATCTAAAGTGTCAAAGAGCTGTCAGCCTGGCATATATATCTCCAATTCGGATTTTTTTGATAGATTTTCGACTAGATCCGGTATCACATATCAGTGGCAAAGTACACCTGTTTCACTAGAATATTTTAGATAAGCTTAAGTCGTAGACACATTGTCTTCTTTTCTATCTATTCATTAGTGTTTTGGTAAAACGTAGCGTCGCATCACTTTTCAGAAGAATACCAGGTAAAAATGTTAATCCGTTTAAGAAGTTTATTCCTAGGTTAAGGAACTTCGAAACGTAAATGTAACTGAGTCAGCATTTTTTTTTCGTTCCATCACGAATTGTTGTGTAGTTTCGGGTCATTATTAAAACAAGTGTCGGTATTTGATAAGTCCGAATAGCTCCACCCAAACTGCGTTAAATGATTAATGAGATATTATTTTAAGACATTCACTATCGGCAGTAACTTAATCGTGCTAACTGTTATATTTCGAGAACATTGTCGTAAGTAAATAAAAATAAATCATCGGGTCAGCCGATAGTCTAGTTTCAATACCAATATTAACCGAAATAGTTCGATATAAATAACTCGTTATTTGATAACCTTGGTTTACAAGAACGAACCGTGAAGTAATTTCGGTCCGACACGTGGCCGCAACTAAGCGCAACAAGTTTTGTTACAGTAATAGCGATTTGTATTACAACATTCAAAAGACGTTAATTACCATTATTAACAATGTGGTAACCATAATTATGTGGAAAATAACACAGAAATGCTCAACAATGCTACAAGCGAATTTCTCTATGTAGATATGTACAAATGGCAAAAGTATGTGCTCGAATAATTTGTGGCAAGAATTTATATAGAACATGTGAAACCAAGGTACCCAGAGAAACCACACAAATACGCTAACAACAAGAATTTAAGTTGAATTCTTCCACAATTAGCGTGTGCAAGTCGAAAACAAATGTTTACATATGACGGTGGCAAGAAGGTAATGCAACGGGTTTAAAGTTTGAAAAGGTGGTGAAAAGGGGAGAAATTAATAGAAAATAGTTTAAGTCAGTTTAATCAACGAACGATAAGCCCTCATCATATGTTTTTTAACCCTATATTAAAAAGGAAAACATTTGGTGTAATTATTTTTAAATCTTTAGGCACTTCGTATTAGAACAAAATTGTAGGTTTATGACCATTTTTTTCTAGCATAGCCCACTTTAGCTGAAAACGCATCGAACTTAGATTTACAACTGGTTGTAGCTATTTTTTCCAGTATACAAGGTGCGTTCCAAAGTAAACAGTAAAAAAGTAACAAAGTAAACTCTAGTGGCGCCATCTATATGTCGACTAGTGCGTTAGAATCTGCTATTTTTTATCGTCTTCCAGTAAAAATTTCATAACATTTCATCTATTGAAAGTGAAGTTATTGCGTTTTAAATGTCAGTATGTTTTTGTCATCGGTGCGAAAATGATCTTCGAATAAAGAGCCAACATTAAATATTGTTTTAAAATTGATAAAACTTTTACCGAAACGTTTCAATTGATGAAACAAGTTTATGGCGATAATAGCCTATCCCGTAGCAGAGTGCACGAGTGGTTTCAACGTTTTCAAAGTGGTCGTGAGAACATAAATGACGATGAACATGAACCCGAAAAATCGCGCCTGGAGAAGTCAAAAGTGAAGACAATGCTGATTTGTTTTTATGAGTACCAAGGGTATTATCCACAAAGAATTTGTTCCACCCTATTATTCTACCTTGGAGTTTTGAAGCGTTTGGTGCACCGTATTCGACGTGTTCGGCCCGAATATCGCGAAGATGGAAGTTGGCGTTTGTTGCACGATAATGCGCCGTCTCATCGGTCGACGCTTGTGGCCGATTATTTGCCCAAAAATCACATTTTAACAATCAACCACTCCCCGTATTCACCTGATATGGCACCGTGTGACTTTTACCTTTTCGGAAAAATGCATTTTCCAATGAAAGAAAAGCGTTATGCAGACGTGGAGGCTATTCAAAAGGCTTGAACCGGCATACTGGCGTCATACCGGGCAACGCGCTAAAACACTCGAGCTACAACACTTACCGCGTTGGAAAGTGACAAGACACAACTCTTTGCGGCATTAAAACTAGAGAGTTTATTTTTGGTTTAAAACTAGAGTGTTTTATTTTGAGTAAAATAGAAGATGGTGCGGTACAATATTTTCAAATAACGAATGATTCAATAGAGTTTGTAACATTTGATAACAGCATTTCGGCAACGGCAAATTTTTGTTTTCTGCTTGTCTTCATCAAAAATGTTTAAATGCTAAAAATTATGCTCCGATCCAAGATAAAGCAAATTTTTGGCATATCACAAGAAGTCGCCCTTAACATTATTTACAGATAGCTTACAAGCCTACTATGTTAGAACTCTTGTTTGATTAATTGACTAAAAATTGTGTGGACCAAGATTTGATTCGAAATGTAAACGGGAACACAACATACCCTTTACTCAGTTTTAGGACAAGATTCAGATGCTAAAGAAGAAATACTACTGGATGAATGAAACATTTTAGAAGGTAAACCTATTCAAAAAAAGATTAATCAATAATACATAAACATACGAGTATACTCTTTAGTGGTCTTTCATTAGCCATTTCTCTGCCAGCTATCTTTGCGCGCTGCTCTCTTGCCAAGAAATTTTCGTTACAAAGTAGCAAAAAAGTTATCGAATTTGGCGATGACTCAGTTTTATTTGCACATTTTAAATTAAATTTCTCACAGTGAATAGCTCGCATGAAAAATTGCTCTTAAAAATTGTCATGTTTTATTGGGTCTCAAAACTAAAGACTTGAAATAAGCTATGATTATAATTGTTATTAATAGAAAACGTAAGGTTGCAGGTAAGTGGCTACTAAAATATTTTTTGTCGTAGAAAAAATCATATCTCCATTAAAGAGAGAAACGCAACTGAAAGGACATGCGTCAGTGGCCTTATTAGCGCAGAGTTGCAATGCAAGTGTTGCCAGTTTGTTTGAGCAACTGATGTAGCTTGTTCGTTTTACTACTCTCCAACGCCTGGCGAATTGAATATACCGAAGAGACATTTTTATAAAGATTTTGTGAAATTTTCAAAAGAAAATATTCAAAACTCGGCCATTACGTTGTCATTAACCGAAGGCCCACGGAAAAAAGGTGCCTAGGCTCTGACAGCAAAACTCTTTACAGGAGCAAACGAAGTAAAAAGAACCAAATAATTATTTAAATTAAGACCATAGGCTAGGTAATGGACGAAGGCAAAAACAACAAAGTGAAAATTGTATTTTTGGTGAAATTTGAAAATATTTTAGAAAATTTTTCAATTTTTTAAAATTATTACCCAAGAGGAAGAGTTAACTTCGGTTGCAACGAAAATATGAAATTCGTATAATATCCTTCACAAATACAAAAGATTTCATACAAGAACTTGAATTTGATTGATCAGTTTGTATGGCAACTCTATGCTATAGTAGTCCGATCTAAACGATTTCTTCGGAGATTACATCATTGCCTTTGAAAGCAATACATGCAAAATTTCTTCTAGATATTTCTTGAAAGGAAAAAGTTTTTTATACAAGCACTTGATTTCGATCGTACTGTTTTTATAGTAGCTATATGCTGTAGTGATCCGATGCCGACAAATAATCAGCTTCTTGAGGAGAAAAAAAACGTGTGCAAAATTTCAGATCGATATCACAAAAACTGAGAGACTAGTTCACGTATATACAGACAGTCGTACCTTCAGACAGTCACGGACATGGCTAAATCGACTCAGCTCGTCAGGCTGATCATATATATATATATATATATATATATATATATATATACTTGATATGATATCCGATGTTTCCTTCTGGGTGTAATATACATATTTCCGAACTTAAAATACCCTGTTTAGGGTATAATGAAGTGGACTTCAACAAATTCCTCCTATGGAGCCTCAACTCTAAATTTAACTGAGCTCTTTCATATATTCGCATATTCGCCGATAGATGCGGTGGAAATTACACTGAAGAGTGAAAGTATACGATACGAGAAAAGACAGCAAAGACAATTTTCGTCAATTACTGGATTAAAGTTGCCACATATCAGTAAAACAAATGCATAGTTTGATTGATCAATGATATCTGAGTGTTTTATTTACAAAAGTTACTGAAGTGCCACCCT